AGGGTCTCCCTGTAGCCCCAGCTGTCCTGGAACTCACTATGTAGACCAGGCTGGCTTTGAACTCACAGAGATCCGCCTGCTTCTGCCTCCCAAGTGCTCGGATTAAAGGCGTGTGCCACCACACCCAGCTAAAATATTTTTTAAAAAGCCACTAATAGTGATATATACTTGTAATCCCAGCATACAGGAGGCTGAGGCAGGAGGACTGCCTAGAGTTTGAGGTCAGGGCTACAGAGACCTTATCTCAAAGACAAGATTCTTTATGAACACACATTGCTGGCACAGTCACACATCCCCAGCCACCCTGATTCCAACAGATCAAAGAAATGTTCTAACATAAGAATTTCCTCAATTGGACACTTTTGGCCACGTTGTACAGAATAAGTCAAGTGGACTTACCAGGACAGCCTGTTTGCCATACTCAATCCACCGACGGGTGGCAAAATTGGTAGACTCAGCACAATTGAAACCGTGGTTGAAGCCAGCATGGTAACCATATGGGAAGGTGATCATAAACTCTCCAGCTTCTTGGGTCACCTGAACAGGAGCAGACTTGAAGCAGCTGCCACGTGTGGAGGAGGCCTGGACTAGGACTGGAACCAAGTTCCAGCTCTGCCAGCACTTAGCTGAGCGACCAACGGCAAGTCAAACCACCAGGGTCTTGCTGTCTCATTTAACAGATCAGACACATGCTCAGACTATAATTAACCATCCCTCTAAATTAACACTGTGCAGGGAATCTGACTTGCCCTCGGCACCTGGAAAGCAACTAGCCACCTGTTGTTACCAAATCCCACCCTAGAGCAAAATGACAGTAATGATGAACTAGAGCAAAACTGTACAACAAAGATCAAGAAGGGTGTCTCTCTATAAGCCTAAGGCCCACTGTGCTCTGTGTGGACACCAGCTAGCTCACCTTGTCAAAAGGAATGCCGTACTTCTTCAGCATTAATGGGGAAATCAGGGTCATCTTGTGTCGGAGAAAAGCCTCACAGCTTTGAGCACTTCCTGGGAAAAAACCTGTTTAAATGGACAACAGGTCTAAGTTAATAGATGCTCCACTTCAGCTGTAACCCTTGAGTCAGTTCCCACCTGCGGATCACTTGAGGCTGGTAAGGAGGACAGTCATCAAAGTGATACTATGAGGGACTGGAGATGGTTCAGCAGTTAGGAACATTTGATGCTCTTGCAGAGGATCCAAGTTCAGTTCCCAGCTCCTATGTTGGGTGACTCAAAGCTCCAAATCCAGAGGAATCCAATGCCCTCTTCTGGACTCCAATAGACACCTACACTCACATACATACATACCCACACAGACACTCATATACAAAAATAAAAAATATTGTAATTGTCAGGCATGGTGCCATATGCTTTTAATCCCAGAACTCCAGAAACAGAAGCAGGCAGATCTCTGTGAGTTGCAAGCCAGCTTGGTCTACACAGGGACACTCTGTCTCATAACAAATAAATAAGTATTTTTTTGAAAAGTGGGGCTGGAAAGGTGGCTTAGTGGTCAAGAGTCCTTGACGCTCTTGCAGAGGACCAGAGTTTAGTTCTGAGCATCTATATCGTGGTCACTGACAACGTCCTGTAACTCTAGTTCCAAGGGCTTCAATTGCCTCCTCTGGCCTCCCCAGGCACCAGGCATGCAGGCATTGCTCATATGTACATGCAAGCCAGATAGTCATACATGGAAATTAAAAATAAGTCTTCAAAAAGATTTTTTTAAAGCGATGCTAAGTAAGGATTGTTCCAGCTTCAGTAGTCTGAGGTTCTATTGTGAACCTCCAGGCTCTCCCAGGTGGTGTATTATCTGGGCAATCAAACCATGGAACATTGAGATGACTCAAGTCGCCTGTTCTTCCGAAACTCTGAGAACTACTCAGGACCTTCTCCAGGCCTTGAAGACTGAGATTCCATCCCCAGCCTTTAGTGAATGGCACATCTACAGTTTCATCTACCCTGGATCTCTTAAAATAGTAGACTCTATAGAGGCACAAACCTATCAAAGTCCATTTAAAAGAACCCAAACACACAGACACACACGCACGTGCGCACGCACACAGACCTAAACTCAAAATTCAATTTGGGCTTTCACATTTGGGGTTTGAGCAGAAGAACCCGATCTAATATTTTTCTAGTCAAGAGAGCCTATGGGTGGAAGCATGGACACAAGAAGAGACCCAAGTCCCTTCTTGGCCAGAAGGGCTTGTTCTACTAAGGTGACCAATCCTGTAGCTAAGTTCAGACACCCTGCCCCACCTGCAGACCTACAAAAGGCCATGCAAGATCTGACCACAGAGAATGGACATCTCAGAGCAAGGAGCTCAGCTGAGAGAGGACTGACCCAGTACCTGAAGGGGCTACAGTACCTTTGGCAAGACGCTCCAGGCGCTTCCCATGCTCGGGTGGAACAGAGTACCTGCAATCACATAATCACATGGCAGTATTAGACACCCAGGAAAGAACAGGGGCAAGAGCTAAGGGACTTGCGCCCACTCACAAACACTCCGAAGGCAATAGAGAAGATCCTGAGTGTCCCCAGCACAAAGAAATGGCAAATGTCTGAGGTAATAGATACAACAACTACGCCAACCTGATCATTGCATACCACATACTACATACACTGAAATGGGTGCTATAGCCCATAAATATGTACAATATTATGTCTCAATTTAAAATGCATTTTGAAGAACACCTTGAAGCCAGGCATGGTGGCACGCCTGTAATCACTAGCACATGAAAGGCAGAGACAAGGAGGATCAAGAGCTTGAGGGCAGCCCCAAGCTACATGCCAAGGGGAAGGAAAATTATAACAGCTGATTTTCAAAATGGGTGCTATAGCCCATAAATATGTACAATATTATGTCTCAATTTAAAATGCATTTTGAAGAACACCTTGAAGCCAGGCATGGTGGCACGCCTGTAATCACTAGCACATGAAAGGCAGAGACAAGGAGGATCAAGAGCTTGAGGGCAGCCCCAAGCTACATGCCAAGGGGAAGGAAAATTATAACAGCTGATTTTCATTTATTTTTTTAAATATTTATTATTTTTATTTTATGTGTATGAGTGTATTGCCTGCATGTATGTGAGTGCACCCATGTTGTGCAACGCCCAGGGGGTCAGAAGAGGGCGTCAGATTCCCCTGGAACTGAAATTAAGGATGGTTCTTAGCCACCACGTGGGTACTGGGAATTGAACCTGAGTCCACTGCAAGAGCAGTCAGTGCTCTTAACTGCTGAGCCATCTCTCCAGCCCCATATCTATTTTTTTAATGTGGCAAAACCTACATGATATGACACTCGTCAGTTTTTAAATGTACAAAGGTACAATTAAGTGGCATTAAATATTTTCATTTGTTGTATAACATGTCTATACCTTGAACATTTTCATCATTCCCAACAGAAAGGCTGTACCCATTGAACAAATGACCACCTTCCCCTCTCATTCCACCCCATCCTGCCCCACACCCTCGGCTCCTGGAAACTTCCATTCTACCTTGTTCCAACAATTTGTCTATTCTAGGTAATTTCATCTCAGTGGACCCGTACAACAACTAGACTATTTCACTTAGGATATCACTAAGTCATGTTACAGAATATACGTCATTTAAAAAAATTTTTTTTCCGAGTTTATTGCCTACATGTATGTAAGTGTACCCATGTCATGCAATGTCCATGAAGCCCAGAAGAGAACATCAGATTCCTGGAACTGGAATTATAGACAGTTGCTAGCCACCATGTGGGTGCTGAGAATTGAATCCAGGTCCTTTGGAAGAGCAGCTAGTGCTTTTAACTGCTGAGCCATTTTTCTGGCCTCAAGAGCAAAACTTTTAATCTTAAATAATTCTTAATTTAAAAAAAATTCTATTAGAGTTTAAAAATCTTACCTTAGGAAATATAGGAATTTCATAAATCTGGAATGATGTCAGTTATATTTGGTTCTAAACCTTTCATTTAAGTTATTACTGGGGAATACTGCTGACATCTATGGAAAGGAGATGAAACAGAACTTAAAGCCAATAGGCAAGGATCTGCATCTCAAGAACTAGTAAAAGCTAGCTGGGTGTGGTGGCACATGCCTTTAAGCCTTTAATCCCAGCACTCAGGAGGCAGAAGCAGGCATATCTCTGTGAGATCGATGCCAGCCTGGTCTGCATAGTAAGTTCCAGGCCAGCTATGACTGTAGGGAGACCCTGTCACACACAAAACAAAAAACAACAACAAAAAGAGACAAACTGATATTCTTCCTCCTCTCCTCCTCCTGTCTTCTGCCTGTCTTCCTCCTCTCCTCCTGTCTTCTGCCTGTCTTCCGCCTGTCTTCCTCCTCTCTTCCTCCTCTCCTCCTCCTCCTCCCCCCTTCTCCTCTCCCTCTTCTCCCCCCTCCCCCTCCTCCTTCCTCCTCCTCCTCCTCCTTCTCCTCCTCTTGTGGTGCTAGAGATCAAACCAGTGTCTCTCACATGTTAAGCATACACTCCTCCACTGAACTATACCCTAATCTTTCAGATAAGCTTCTATCACTTAGTAATGTCTCTTGTTTCTTTTTTTTTTTTTTTTTTTTTTTTTTTTTTTTTTTTGTCTTTTTGAGACAATTGTAGTCCCAGCTGGCCTGGAACTCACTTTGTAGACCACGGTGGCCCCAAACTCACAGAAATCCGCCTGCCTCTGCCTCCCTCCCGGGTGCTGGGATTATAGGCATGCGCCACCACACCCAGCTCTCCATATGTCTTTTCATGGCTTGAGAGTTAATACGTTTTTAACACTGAAGAACAGTCCATTGTTTGGGTGTACTAGTTTCTTTATCCATTCACCTACTGAACAATATTTTGGTTACTTCTGCTTTGGCAACTGTATTTTTTTATTATTATTTTTATTATATGCATGTAAGTGTATTGCCTATATATATGTGAGTGCACCCATGTTGTGCAACGCCCACGGAGGTCAGAAGAGGGCATCCCCTGGAACTGGAGTTACTGGACAGTTGTTAGCCGCCACGTGGGTGTTGGGAATTAAACCCAGGTCCTCTGCAAGAGCAGTCAGTGCCCTTAACCGCTGAGCCATCTCTCCAGCCCTAGCAGCTGATTTTTAAAAGTGTCTAACCAATAAAAAGCTCTCTGCAGAAATGAAATATCCAACTGCCAAGGCAAAGTAAGAATTCAAGAGAACAAAACATTTCTCTCCTTTATTACGGTATTCATATAAAATTACTTAATGTGGGGGGAGGGCAGGCACATCACATAACTTGAAATTTTTTACAGTGCTCCCAGAAGGGGAAGGCTTAATGGAAAGGCTAGAGGAATGGAAAACAAGGCGAATTCTTTGTCTCATACTGGCAATGTGTCCACTTTTCTAACATCTCCATGAAAGCTTTACTAATCACCCAATAACTAATTACTCCTGCACATGGTAGGTGTCTAGACATCATAAGAGCTGCTCTTCATGAAAAATAAAAAGGAAATAAGAATATCTAAGACTATTTGCAGTAACTTTATTTTAACCTTTATTGGTTATTTTAACCTATCCTAGGAACTATTTCAATTAAGTATGGGGAAACATGGCTGTGGTCCCATGGCTGGGGAGGCTGAAGCGGGAGGATCACTTGAGCCTGGAAGTTTGAGGTCAACTTGGGCAATATAGCAAGAACCCAACTTAAAAAAGCAGAGATTATTACACATGCACACAAAAAAAATTTCCGCCAGGCATGGTGGCACACGCCTTTAATCTCAGCACTGGGAGGCAGAGGCAGGTGGATCTCTGTGAGTTCAAGGCCAGTCTGGTCTACACAGTGAGTTCCAGGACAGGGAGACCCTGTCTCAAAAAGACCAAAAAAAAAAAAAAAAATTCCACCCCAAGCTACATCATTTTGAAACAAAATGTGGAGTGGAGGAAACTGTCACCTAAAGGTCTTAGAATCCATCAGGCTACCTTGCACAGAAGCCTCTGGCACTACTTCAGATGACCTCAACAGTACATACAGTGCCTTCAAAACCTCTTAGTCAGGCATGGCAGGGCACACCTGCAATCACAGCACTCAGGAGATAGAGGCAGTAGAATCACCTAGGCCTGAGAAGTACTGTGAGTTCAAGGCCAACCAGGACTACACAGCAAGATCCTGTCTCAAAACAAAACAAACCCTTCTCTTGACAACTGAGAACAGGAATCCAACAGCTGGCAGGGAACTCTGGAGTAAACAATGGTGAAGATACAAACGGGACATTCTGAGATGCTGCAAGCCTAGTCATCTGCTAGGGAGGCAATGGGACAATGGTCTGTAATCACAGGTTCAAAAGGCTTTTTCCCCAAAATGGAACTCTAAACAGCAATTGAAGGGAGAAAGGCAAAGCCTTGGGATTGGCTATGGCTAAAGATGCTGGAAAAAGTCGAGGGGCCATAATTTCCAAACACAGCTTCTCAATAGCCCCGGGGTGGCCCTCTGACCTACCACCCATTCTCCTGGACACAGTGACTTTAAACAGAGTGTGCCCTGCCAACCCAGGAGCTCTGCACATGTGATTCAAACTTGTTGGATATACTGCCCTCAGTACCCTCTCCCATAGCCGCCATCATTCCACCCAGTGACATGCTTCTCACTGTTCTAGCCTCAGCTTAGTGCTCACTCACCTTTGAAAGCTTTCTCTAACCTCCACTCCACCTGTGGGTCCCGCCTATGTGGACCTCAGCACCCACTGCTCTCTGGAGCTTTTCCTACACCATTCCATCACTTTCTCCACTTCCTGCTGCGTGGTGACCAGGCTCCTATCTGTGTGGGGGTGGATGCCACATGAGTCTTGCTCACTGTTGCCCTGTTACTAAAAGACTGATATTGAGAGACAGGGCAGTGCACCAAGAGGACAGAGTAATTTTTGTCTCCTCAGCTAGGCTGGTAACAGAGCAGGAAACATGTGCAGAGCAGCCTCATAGATCTCCTCCTGTGTTAAACAGACCCTGTTGCTCACCATGCCATTTTTCCATCGAGGAAAAAAAAAAAAACTTCCTAACATTCTAAAGAGTGGCTTCAGTCTTAGAAGTAAGCCCTTAAGAAATACCTCAGGCTCATCAAGACGGAATCAGAAAGCAGCTACACCAGCATGAACAGACCATGGCTTTCAGTAAGTTCACTAACGTGATGTATTCTTTCATCAGCAGATGCTAAATACTGTTTTCTAAAGCCAATATTTGGGAGCTGAAGCAGGAGAATCATGAGTTGAAGGCCAATCTAGGCTACAGAGTGAGATCCTTAACTCAAAAAACAAAGAGTGAGTCAGGCATGGTGGCACAGGCCTTTAATCCCAGCACTCAGCACAGGCAGGTGGATCTCTGTGAGGTCAAGGCCAGCCTGATCTACACAGTGAGTTTGAGGACAGCTGGGGCTATAGGAAGACCCTTTCTCAAAAAAAATAAACAAAATAAAAACAACAATAACAACAACAAAAAGCTTGCTAAGAGTCAAAAGGCACTCTGGGCTCCAAAAGCATACAATAGTATGTTTCAATACAGAATGGCAGCTCCACCCATGCCTGCCACCCAGCTCTGCACTTGTCACATGCATGAGAGGCATGATGTTCTGAGATGATGAACAGCACCAACTGCAGGCTGACTTTACCAAGACTTTGGCTCTCCAAAGTGCAGGTAGTTGATGCTGTATAGGTCCATGTCTTCTGTGTGCCAGGCGAAGGATGTTTTCCACATGCCGAAGTACAGGTACGGGGTGTTCACCCCCTCGATGGTGATCCCACTCTCCTTTTCCACGAGGTCTAGGATGGTCCTCAGTCGGCCAATATTCCACTCATCAACGTGCTGCCAAGGAAACAGCCCAGGGCACACATTAAATTAAGCAGCTTTAGGTGAGCTGTCACCTCTGATCAAACTGGCAAGTCAAAACCAGCGTATCAAAATAAATAGAGCCAGATGTGGTGGCACCTTTAATCCCAGCTGAGGTAGATGGAACTCTGTGAGTTCCAGGCCAGCTAAGGCTCTATAATGAGACCCAGTCTCACAACCACAAAGTAAGTAATTAAATAAAATAAATAAATAAAACCAAATAAGTAAGCATCGCTCCTCACTCACACAGCTACAACTGGAATTTTGCTGCTCTGCCACCAACAGCAAATGCCACTCTGACCAATACTACTGCAAGGAAGATGAATAAAGAGGTGGGCAGCACCTGTTCAGACCCCAACAGGAAGAGTCTGAACTGAACCTAAAGAAACTTAGGTAACTACTACTAAGCCCTTGGGAAGCTGAGGTAGGAGAATCGCATAAGTTCTAGGCCTGCTTGAACTAGAGTAAAGTCTTATCTTAAAAAGAAAGAAAGAGGGGGGCTGGAGAGACGGCTCAGCGGGCTGGAGAGATGGCTCAGTGGTTAAGAACACTGGTTGTTTTTGCAGAAGACATGGGTTCGAATCCCAGCACCCACATGGCAGCCAATAACTGTCCATAACTCCAGTTCCAGGGAATCCAACAGCCTCTTCTGCCCTCCTTGGGCACTGCACGACACGGGTGCACTTATCTACATGCAGGTAATATACACATAGACATAAAATAAAAATAATAAAATTCATAAAAAAAAAAAAAGAAGAAAGAAACTTAGGTGACTTTTAACTCAGTAAAAGAAAAAAAGGAGGCTGGAGAGATGGCTCAGCTGTTAAAAGCACTAGCTGCTCTTGCAGAGGACCCAGGTTCAATTCCCAGCACCCACATGGTGGCTAACAACCATTTGTAACTCCAGTTCCAGGGGATCTGATGCCTTCTTCTGACCTCCAAGGGCATTGTACAACACAGGTGCACCTACCTACATGTAGGCAATACACTCATACACATTAAAAAAATAATAATTTGGGGGGGGTCTTTTTGAGACAGGGTCTCCCTGTAGCCCCAGCTGACCTGAAACTCACTATGTAGACCAGGCTGGCCTTGAGCTCACAGAGATTTGCTTACCTCTGCCTCCCAAGTGCTGGGACTAAAGGCGTGCACCACCACCCTTGGCTACAAAGTATTTTTTTTAAAAAAGAAAGTTAAATAAACTTGGAAAATTTTTTTAAAAAGAAAAAAGAATTTTAAATATTTTAAAAAGGGTTAGTAAAATGACTCAGCAGACAAAGGCACGTACCACCAAGCCTGACAACCTGAGTTCAATGCCCAGAACTCACATGATATGAGAGAACCAACTCCCAAAGTTGTCCTCTGACCTCCCTGTGTTCTATGGCATGCATGAGCACACACCCACCCACCCACCCCACCGTCCTTTCCCTGAGCTCTAATGGTCATGCAGGCACCCCCTCTTCTGACAGGCTCAGGGTTACTGTGCCCTGCTCTTCTCCCTCCCCTTCTCAAGTCCTTACAGCGTTTTCCTGTCATTCACTCCTCCAAGTTTGACTTCCCCACCACCCACACTAGTATTAACAAACTTAGAATTCACTTTTTAATTCTTCCTTTTCAACAATTTATACCAATATCAAAATTAATTTGAGAGTTAATCCCTGAAGAGTCCTAGAGATTTTTCATTCTTTTTTTACTTTATATGTATGAGTGCTTTGCCTCCATGTATGTTAAGTGCAACATGTGAATGCAATGTCTACAGAGAGCGGAAGAAGGCATTGGATCCCCTGGAACTTCAGTCACAAACAGTTGTTAGCTGCCATGTGGGTGCTGGGACCCAAACCTTGGTCTTCTGCAAGAGGAGCCAACTAACTGAGCCATCACTCCAGCTTTCCTGAGTCATCTGTTTTTAAAGATTTTAAGATAAAGATTAAAATATTTCAAGATTTATTTATTTTATGTGTATGAGTGTTTTGCCTGCATGCATGTATGTGGGCCACTTGTGAGCCTGGTGCCCACAGAGGTCAGAAGAGGGCATCAGATCCCCTGGAACTGGAGTTAGGGATGGTTGTTAGCTGCCATGTTAGCCACTGGGAACCAAACCCAGGTCCTCTGCAAGAGTTAAGAGTGCTCTTAACTGCTGAGCCATCTCTCCATCTCCCCCACAGATCGTTTACTCACCCCAAAACAGACCCAAATATTCCTCCCTCCACTAACCATATTAAGGTTACTCCTTATGCCAAAATGCACTACATTCTAAGCCAGTGCAAGGGGTTAAAAATAATCCCTGCTACAGTCTTAAGAGTTCTGAAAATCTAAATAAGCGTCTCTTCTTAAATATATACCCCTTTCATTTGATTAGTCAGTGATCTTTTTCCTGCAGAAACCACAGGGCTTCTCTCCCAACATTTCACAGTTCATCTTCTGTGATCTGCCCCACCCTTTCAATAGCTCATCTTCTACCACCCAGAGTATGCACACAGCCCTTGAAAAGAACACCACAGCATCCAGTTCACATGTACAGTGGGAGACATAAAATTCAATCACGTGTGGAACTACCAGCAATGAAGACTGAATAGGAAATGAATGGAGCGTGTTCATTTGCTCATCCACGCATTCACCAGACAGCTTAAGTACCTACTATGTGCTAGGCAGGTAACAAAAACAAAATGATATCACACGATTTCAAAAATGCTATGGGAGGGTCTCACCTTTTCATAGAGTGTGCCGTTCACATCTGCACCATAGATCGGAGGGTTAAAGGTGAGGTTCTTCCAGTATTTCCGCTCTAGCTCTTCAAACTCACTATATCGTGGGGTACAGTATCTTTCAAAGAAAAAAAATCTTGTTCCATTTATTCAGAGGAATACATTTATTAGGCATTATGAGTAGCATAAAACACAATCCCATGCTGGGTGTGGCAGCACACACCTTTAATCCCAGCATTTGGAGAGGCAGATGCAGGTGGATCTCTGTGAGATCCAGGTCAGCCTGGTCTACAAAATGAGTTCCAGGCCATCTGGGGAGAGAGAGACCCTATCTCAAAAAGACCAAAAAACAACAATACCCAATCTTGGCTTCAAGCTCTAATACAGCCCCATTGGCACTCAATTGGCTGAGGCAGAATTGCCATGTAATCCAGGCCACCCTGGGTTACACAGTGAGTTTCAGGCAGATCTAACACACAGTATCTGCTTCTGGAGGCCATGGGCAGGAGGAAGCCTGAGGAAGGTGGAACAGGCCCAGAAGTGTCCCACCTTCCCTCAGGAGCATGACATCCCCTCTCCAGTAAGGCTACTATACTCTGCAGATTCTGCAGTGCTGGGGGAGGGGGAAGGAGGGCAGGTTTACACACATAAATACCAAAGACATAATAAGCCCATCTGTATCCAGACACCAAACCCTCCAGCATGTAAAGGGCGGAGGTTGCGGAACAGCACCAAGTTCCTGTATCTGTGGCCTCACTTGTCATTACTACCTTCCCAGCATCCTCTTCAGAGGCCAAACACCCAACAGGTAATTGTATTGAAAACTAAGTATTTAAGCAAAAAATATTTAGTAAAAACAGAAATTAGGGGGCAAAAAAAATCTTGTTCTATATTAGGGTGATGGGCAGGATGTAGCTCAGTGGTACAGTGTTTACAGGAGGCCTTAGGTTACATCCTAAACACCACACACAAAAAGGCAGATAAATAAAATGAAAACTAAGTACTCTGGGGTAAAGGAATAGTCAGATTTAAGGCTGGTTAATTTTAAATGAAACTAAGTTTCCAGAAGAAAAGGCTTGGCATGTGCTGACAAGAAGACAGACAGGAAACCTTGGTGGCCCTGTGTGGGAACAAAGTGGATAAGTATGGCCCAGGGCACAGAAGCAGACTTGAAGGATACAGCCTTTCCTTTCCGTGCAGAGCATTTCACACTTCCTCAACAGGTTTTGCATAAATTCACTCATTGGCCAAAAAGGTGGCCAGAGGTATAGATGTTTTAAGAGTTGTCGATAAACCTCTAAGACCTCAATTAGAATCAGGACAAGTCAAATGTAAAGGCAAAGAGGGCCAGGCATGGTGGTGCACGCCTGTAGTCCCAGCACTCTGTGTGAGTTCAAGGCCAGCCTGGTCTACATAGTGAGTTCCAGGACAGCTGGGGCTACAGGGAGACCCTACTTCAAAAAGACAAAAAAAAAGAAAAGGCAAAGAGGAGGAATAGACACCTGAGGTGGGAGGGAGAGATGATAAAGCACATTAAGAGGCAGCCAGAGGTGTGCGTGCGTCGGAGAGCTGAAGATTTAGCTCTGGGCTTGCTCAGTGAAGGTGCAGTTTGACTGACAGACAGGCTGAAATCAAGACATGTAGATCAGCAAGGCCTAGGAAAGAAAGGAAGAAATTCCCCCGTGGATACTCAAAATTGAGGCGTAAAGTGGGAAGTGAGAAGATTCTAGCTAGATGACTAAAGAGCAGAGCCAGATGAAGGGAACACAAAATTCATTCTGAGTGTGAGGGAAGATGAAAGCTAAATCCTAAAAACAGTGAGGAAAAAACAACTGAAAACAACAGAGTAAACAAAGACATTCTGAGACAAAGAGTGTGCGCTCAGGGCAGGAGTGCTAGCACAGAGCCACCAGCTTGCTCAGTACTCATTCAACGTATTAGCACAGAAGCGGCAGTGTACAGCAGTGAGGAGCCTGTGCTGGGCAGCCTTCCCTGGTGAACGGGAACGAAGGCCACTTCTCCACAAGCATTCGGAATCAAGGTATCTGGAAAACACTCCTTTTGAATCACCTCCAACTTTCTCCTTCGCAATGATGAATTTTCCAGTCAGAAAAGTACCCTGTTTCTAGGGCTGGAGGTGTAGAACATGCACCCATGTGGCAGGCCTGGCTGCCATCTTCAGCACCACAAAAAATTTAACTTTTAAAACAATTACCGCTACTGATGGGAAAACAATGGGATCACTTTCTATAGGAACATGGACAGGGGCTGAAGAGATGGCTCAGCAGTTAAGAGCACTGACTGCTCTTGCAGAGCACTTGGGTTCAATTCCCAGCACCCACACGGCAGCTACAAACCGTCCTTAACTCCATCCAGTTCCAGGGAAATCCGAAGCCCTCTTCTGACCTCCACGGCATTGCACGACACGGGTGCACTCACATACATGCAGGCAATACACTCATATACATAAAATACAAATAGTAAATATTAAAAAAAAAAAAAAAACACAAGAACATGGACAGGAGCTAGAGAGGTGGCTCAGCAGTTCAGTACTGCTCTTGCAGGGGCCCAAGTTCAGTTCCCAGCACCCACACACTGCCTGTCACTGCTCTAGCTCCAGAGAATCTGATACCTTAGCCTCCACAGAGCATAGTGGCGCACGCCTTTAATCCCAGCACTCGGGAGGCTAAGGCAGGTGGATCTCTGTAAGTTCAAGGCCAGCCTGGTCTACATACTGAGTTCCAGGCCAGCTGGGGCTACAGGGAGACCCTGTCTCAAAAAGGCTAAATTAATTAATTAATTAATTAATAATTAAATAAAATAGGGGACTAGAGAGATGGCTCAGTGGTGCTCTTGCAAAGGACCCAAGTTCGGTTCCCAGCACCCACACGGTAGCTAACAACCATCCATAATTCCAGTGCCAGGGGATCCTCTTTCTGGTCTCAATTGACATTGCATGACACAGGTGCACTTACATACATGCAGGGAATGTACTCATACACATAAAAAAAATTAATAAGATATATTTAAAAAAAAAAAAAAAGCTAGGAATGATGATGCACACCTTTAGAGGCAGGCGGATCTCTGTGAGTTCAAGGTCAGCCTGGTCTACGTAGTGAGTTCCAGGCCAGCTGGGGCTATAGGGAGACCCTGTCTCAAAAAGAAAAAGAAAAAGATCATGGAGAGGTCTAGCTGGTTTGGTCCATGCTTATAATCCCAGCATTTGGGAAATAGTGGCAGAATCAAGAATTCAAGGTCATTCTCAGCTACACTGTGAATAGAAGCTATCCTACTATCCTGGGTATATGTGACCCTGTCTCAACCAAAATAAAATAATTAAAATAAACATGAGAGTTGGAGAGATGGCTCAGAGGTTAAGAGCACTTGCTGCTCTTCCAAAGAGGACTGAGTTCAGTTCCTAGGACCTATGTTGGGCAGCTCACTACCACATGTAACTCCAGTTCCTGGGGATCCTCTTCTGGCTTCCAAGGGCACCCTCATACATGTGGCATTTACTCACATAGACATACACATATACACATAAAAAATAATATAATAAAGACCCTTAGAGACAGCTGTAAAGAAGCAACTCCTAGACCAGCAAAATGGTTCAGTGGGTAAAACTGCTTGCTGCCTTGTCTGATGACCTGAGATCCATCCTAGAACCCATGTAAAGGTAGAAGGAAAGAAATCGTCCTCTGATCTCCATATGCATCCCATGACATGCAAACACATACACAGGCATTCACACAGAGTAATAAAATTAAAAAAAAAAAAAAAATTTTAAGCAATTCTAGGCCCACGTGCTAAGATAGGGAAAGAATTTCTACCTGTTGGTATATGCCTGTGAACCTGGTATTGGAAGGCTGAGAGCAGAAGGATCTTGAGTTTGAGGCCAGTCTAGACTACTCAGCAAAAATGTGTCAAAAAAAGCTCCCACCGGGCGTGGTGGCACACACCTTTGATCCCAGCACTTGAGAGTTCGAGGCCAGCCTGGTCTACAGAGTGAGTTCCAGGACAGCTGGAGCAACAGGAGACCCTGTCTCAAAAAGACAAAAACAAAACAAAACAAAACAAAAACAAAAACAAAAACAAAAGCTCCCAAAAGTGTTCCTACTCACTTATCACTATTGGCGATCTTGCGGAACTCACGGACAGTCATGGCTTTCTTCTGAATGTTGTACTGAGTGAAGAGGCCAGACTGCCCGGTCACCAGCTGCTGGATGGGTGCAGGGATGACCAGATCATCAATGTCATCATAGGACATTCGAGGCTTCCACTCTTTGGGAGGAACAACCTACAGGGGACAGGAATGGTGGAGATAGTTAAGAAAACCGGCAAGCTCAAGTTCAGCTGCCAGTGTAGACTGCCATCCAAACTAGCAGTCAATTTCCAGTGCAGACTGCCCATCCAAACTAGCAGTCAATTTTACTAAAAAGCAACTCAGATTTACCCCTGCTCACCCAAACACAAGAAGTCACACTGTCACGCTAACCTTGACCATGCATAATCGCAAAGACCTAAGGGAAATATTACTTGTAAGCCTAAGCATCCTAAAAGGTAGACAGTTAGTTGATTGTCTAATAGCCCTGGGCTCTTTAAGAAAACACACAACCAAGCTGGGCGTGGTGGCGTATACCTTTAATCCCAGCACTCGGGAGACAGAGGCAGGCTGATCTCTGTGAGTTCAAGGCCAGCCTGGTCTACATAGTGATTTCCAGGACAGCTGGGGCTACAGGGAGACCCTGTCTCAAAAAGACCAACCCCCCCACACACACACACAAACACAAAAGTAGGGTCTGATGGCAGACACCTGTCATCTCTGTACTCCAGACTGTCTCCAGTTTGAGACCAGCCTGAGCTACCCAGTAAACTAAAAGCTTGCCTGGGTTACATCATGACAGGCTGTCTCAAAACCAGAACAGGTAAGCATGGTGGCGCATACCTTTAATCCCAGCACTCTGGAGGCAGAGGCAGGTGGATCTCTGTGAGATCAAGGATAGCCTGGTCTACATAGCAAGTAGTGAGTTCCAGGCCATCCTAGAGACTATCTGGGAGACTATCTCAAAAAACAAATAACAAAAAACAAAAAAACATAAAACTCAGGGGCTGGAGAGATGGTTCAGCAGTTAAGAACACTGGTTGTTCTTGCAGAAGACCCAGGTTCAAATCCCAGCACCCACATGGCAACTAATAACTGTCCGTAACTCCAGTTCCAGGGGATCCAACAGCTTCTCTGTCCTCTCCAGGCACTGCACAACACGGGTGCACTTACCTACATTCAGGCAATGCACACATACACATAAAATAAAAAAATAAAATTAAAAAAAACTTAAAATTTTAAGCCAGGCATTGGGACAATGATGCAGGAGGATGACTATAAGTTCCAGGCTAGCCTGGTCAACCAATGGGACCCTATCTCAACAAAAAATGGTAATAATATAAATTATAAAAGAAAAAAATGGATATGCATGATAAAATAAAATAATTCAACAAGCCTTTTCATAAAATCTAGTAAGTATATAAGTATACAAAAAAATTAATGTATTGGAAAGCTATACTGCACATCCTGCAGCTCCTACCTACTACCTGAACCCAGCAGGGGCCATATCTACATGAGTCAAGACAATGGTCTGGAGACTCAGTGGAAGCACCAAGGTTCCAGACTAGTCCTCAGCTTTGTAAGCAATGACTTGTATGTTTCCATACCCAAAAAGTAGGGGCTGGGACTACAGCTCAGCGGTAGAGCACTAGGTTCAATCCACAGTCTCATGTAAAACAAAACACACAAAAAAGGAAACATACATACGGAAGGAAACTCAAATAGCATAAAACAGAAGTTTTCTCCTGGTTCAGACTAAGTCTCTTGCCTCTGTTTCTGGAGGATTCTTCCAGAAATGCAATCATTTCATCTTTGGGGACAGATAACTTGATTGTGATTGAATATATGAAGGGCTGATTTGGCTGGGGACCAGGAGGATGGCCTTAATTCAATGCACAGGGAGAAAAGAAGTACAAGCCAGAAACCAATTTAAAATGACAAAGACCAGAATACTCTTCTTGGCCGGTGTATTCTCTCCCTTGAAGAAAGTCCCCATGGGAAACCAAATTACTCCAAGAGTGCCTCATGAAACCAAAGTAAAGGAGACAGGTGGCCCTAACACAACAGCAGCAGATAAGTTCTGTACAGCACCCAGTCCAGCCCCAGCAAGAGGACTGAAACTCTGAGGCCAGGCCTGGGGACCCTGGCTGTTTACCTCCCTTTTGTACTCCTACCTAACCGCGTGCACACTTCAGATATTAACAGGAACTAGTTTGCAAAATAGAATGGCATATACCCTAGCTTTCAGAAAAACTCAGTTCTGATCTTCATTTAGGAAAAATTTTACTGTCACCCATTTCGTCTTTAGGGACTCAGAAAACCTGACTGTGGCAGACTGCATGAAGGGCTGGTTTGACCTGGTAGAGGGGGAGGGAAGACACTAATTCCATGCATAGAGAAAAAAACCATACAAACCAGAAACCTCTTTCAAATTACAAAAACCAGAATACTCAGGAAATGGCTATCATAAGAGTCCCTGTGAGCAACCCTCCTTACCTTAGCTAGCCCAGCCCGGTGAGCTCCTTGGGATTCAATGTAGGCAATGTACCGGCTGAAGTTCCGGAACTCTTCCATGGTTGGGTAAAAGGTCATTATTCGAGCACTGGGATTCAAGGTTTCAGATTCAGAAGCCATGTTTCCTCCTTTCAGGGGTGGCTTTGCTCAGATGGAAATCTACATTAAGAGAAGAAAATTAAACATGCAATTCAAACTGATTCTTGAGTACTGCAGAAATTCTAAAGCCTTTAAGACCTCACACCTGGAAACTGCCTCTAGGATGGTTATTTAAATGAACTTGAAGTCTGAATAGAATCCCTACTGCTCAAAAAGGGGTGTGAGGAAGCCTGGGGGCATGGTCACCAGCAATTCCAGCTCTAGGGAGGATACAGGATCTGCAGCTGGGAGGCCAAACTGCTACTATGTCAACAAAGGGGAAAAAGAGAAGGAAGCTAAGGTATCATACCTCTTTGTAGCCTGAGCTCATCAGAGATACAAACTTTGTTTCAGCTACAAAATAAACCATTATCACTCAGTTGTTGGTCCTATGTACAATACAGCTGACTTGTACATTACATTTTAATTTTGCCCTGTTTCAGGACTCTGGCAATCTCTTTATAAACATACTACAGGGCCAGGTATGGTAGTCCCACACCTTTAGTTCACCTATTTGGGGGGCAGAGGCAGGCAGAACTTTGTGAGATCTAGGCCAGCCTACTCTACATATTGAGCTCCAAGGCTAGCTGGGACTAGGAAGACCCTGTCTCAAACAAATCAAAAACAAAAAACACTACCAACAACAACAAAAAAACCCACCAAAATTGTTCTTATAGCTAAATTAAAATGTAGTGTCAGAAGTTCATAATGAAGTCAAATTAGAGGTTAGAGACAGGTTGTACTGAACTGAACCCAGAAATCAAAGGACAAAATTTAAACAAGCAATAAACTGGCAATACAAGACAAACTTCCTAACTGCAGAGAGAAAATAAATACATGCTTTGGGATGAGGATTTCAAGTGGGCAGATCCCACCCTAACTGTTGACAACAAATCATCACAACTGGAAAAAGACAATGCATACTAACAAGAGCCAGTTTAGAAGCAAACAGTAGGTCCTTTTCTGAACTACCTCACCAAGGGCCTGCTTGGTGCTTCTGCTTGGTGCTTCTTGCTTCTGCTTCCCCAAAGCCAAGACTAGTGAGAAGCCCACTAGTGAGAAGAAACTGCCTCCAACCTCCTGGCAACCTAGTAACAGCGTGGAGTAAAACCATCCAAGGCAGGAGAGAAAACCCAATATGGCAACTCTCAGGCTTCCATTCCACTTAAAATAAGGGGTTTCTGGCCAGGTGTTTTTCATAAACTTTGCATGACAGGTATACTGTTTTACCCATTTTACATACCAGGAAATGTGCCACAATCCCCTCCCTAATGCATCTTCCATCACCCTCTACCTCCACCCTAATCTCTACGAGGACTAAGTCCTTTCCAAGGGGAGAGCCAAGTGTGGAGGACCTGAAAGCTATGCAACTTGGGAGACTTTCCTTCTTTAAAGAAAAAAAATCCAAAACTATCCTACGTTTGCAAATTTTACAAAAACATAACATAAATGAAAATACTGGACTGGGGCCCCTCCCCCGGGCTTCAAAGGGGCCAGAGTGGGGCTTCAATAGCCTCTGGCCCTATTTATCTTTGTGTGCCCAGCGCCCGGAACAATACATGGCACAGAATAGGCACTCGGTAACTTGAATAACTGATTTCCTCCGCTCACCTTAGGGGCTCATCTCATTTTTTAAACTCTGGTCTCCCCACTCCCCCACCCGCACCCCCTCAACATATTCTCTGGGGGAAATCTCCTGGTCCCCGACACCTTCCCACCCGCATCCGGCAACAAAGCAAAGAACCCGAGGGTTCAAGAGCACCGGCTCCAGAGTGAAAACGGAATACAGATCCGGTGTCTACTACTTTTTAACTATGTGACCTTGACTATGTGGGTCGACTTGGCTGAGCCTCAGTTTCTACACCTGCAAAATGGGGATTCCCAACCCCCTGCACTGCAGGGATTGGTATGATAAACTCAGATGATGCAAGCGAAACCCTCGGCACTAGGCCTGGCACTTAACCACTCCATAAAGGTAGCTGTTGCTAACAGTCACCTGGAACTCTTGCACCTTCTCCTCACAGCTCCCCCTCAGCATCCCTCCAAAAGCAGCCCTGAGTCCCAAGGTCCCCGAACCTCACCACGTAAAGGTACTGCCCCTCCCGGCCCCACCGCCTAGGCGAGGGAGGCCCGACCGCAGGAAGAAGAAAATAAGGCCCAATGGGCCCGCCCCCCCTCCCGATGTCCATAGGCCACAAGAGATTGGAAAGGACCAATCGCAGGACTCATTTTAGATCTTCCTCCTCCTATTGGCCAAGAGACATGTCAATCACTCAGTAGCGCAAGCCCCACCCCGCCGCCCCTCCCCCACCGAAGCTCACAGTCACCGCAGCATCAAGTCTAAAGAAATCCCAAACCCGGTGGCCCTCACCGAAAGCCCAAAGCCCCCGCAGGGCTCACGCCCGACCTCGGCTGCCGCCAATCGCCGATCCCACGGCCTTTCTTGCGGGCGAAAGACGAAGCTCCGCCTCCTGTAAAGTCGGACTCTGCGCAGCCTCAGTAACTGCGGTCCTCCATTCCGAGGGCCGCTACAAGCCCGCGAGCAGCCAATGGGCAAGCACAGCAGCCGCTCCGAGGCTGGACCATCAGTGTGCTCAGCCTATGTGCGGCCGCTCGGGCTGTTGCCAGGAGGAAAAACTGTAGCGCTTGGGATCCCGGCCACTGAGCGGCTGGGCTGAGTGGGAAACTGGCCAATCAGAAGCTGGTTCAGACCTCGGCGCTACCAGAAAGGGGAGGATCAGAAAAGGGCCGGCGTTGGGACGGGAAGGGCGATCGGGTAGTTTGTGGGGTGTTTCTAACGAAAGGAAAAGCCAAAGTTTTCTTGGAGCGAATACCCCGTCGGTGCCTAAAGGGTAAAGGTGACTGAGGACCCCAGGGGAAGTTTCAAAAGTCAGGCAGTCCGGAGAAGGCGATCATCCTGCCCCAGCTGGTTCAGGACCAAAGTCCTGCCTGCGTTTTTAGAAACCCCACAAAACTGGAAGGCGAGGCAGCTAGGGAGTAGTTCCAGGAGTCCTGGGGGTCATTAGGACGAGTCCTGAGAGAGGATGCCCTTGGGGGTGTTAAACAGCAGTTCCTCTTTGAGCTCGAATTTGGGGGTCATTAGCAGCTTTGGGGCGCAGAGGGGGATTCTAGGACTCACTAGAGGCTCTTCTGGAGAGCGAAGGGGATTCCGATTAGTCATTAGGAGCAGCTCCTCAGAGGTACTGAGCTGTTTTAACGTCTTCCCAGACTGTCAAAGAGGACTGGGAAGGAAATGTTAACAGCACACCCTCATAGGTCCCATAAGAAAGGAGCTCTCACAACTCTGGGCATAAAATTCACGTAGCACTGGGAGATTTTTCATGGAGCCAGGGGATTTGGGGCTGGAGAGATGGCTCAGCGGTTAAGAGCACTGACTGCTCTTGCAGAGGACCCAGATTTGATTCCCAGAACCCACATGGCAGCTAACAACCGTCTGTAACTCCAGTTCCAGGGGATCCGCTGCCCTCTTCTGACATCTGCAGGCTGACATGGGTGTGCTTGCTTACATCCATATGCCACATGCAGGCAATACACTCATACACAGAGAAAATAGAAATAAAATAAATACAAGCCTTTAATCCTAGCACTCAGGAGGCAGAGGCAGGCAGATCTCTGTGAGTTCAAGGCCCACCTGGTCTACATAGCAAGTTTAAGCCATCTGGGGCTACAGGGAGACTCTGTCTCAAAAAGACAATCAATTTTTTTAAAGAAATTTTTTTTTGTCTTTTTGAGACAGTGTCTCCCGGTAGCCCCAGCTGTCCTGGAGTCACTATGTAGACCAGGATGGCCTTGAATTCACAGAGATCCTCCTGCCTCTGCCTCTGCTGAGATTAAAGGCGTACGCCACCATGCCCAGCTATAAATAAATATTTTTAAATAAAAATAATAAAATGGGGGCTGGAGAGATGGCTCAGCGGTTAAGAGCACTAACTGCTCCTGCAGAGGACCTGGGTTCAGTTCCCAGCACCCACATGGCAGCTGTGAACCGTCCTTCACTCCAGTTCCAGGGCAATCCAACGCCCTCTTCTGACATCCTGGGCATTGCACGACATGGGTGCACTCACATACATGCAGGCAATACACTCATACACATAAAAAAAAAATTTTAAATAAAATTTTTTAAATAAAATGAAAAATGCAGGACTGTTGTAATGGTGAAAGTTCATTAATATTGGTTATAAGGAGATACTATATAGAACAGTATGGACCAATGGACTGGGCATATATTTGTTGAAAAGTTCAAAAGAGAAAGTGGGGCACGGTGGCACAAGCCTTTGATCCCAGCACCTGGGAGGCAGAGGCAAACCTCTGTGAGTTTGAGGCCAGTGTGCAAGTTTCTGGTCAGCCAAGGTTTTTGTTTTTTGTTCAAAAAACAAAACTGTGAGTTGGAGGATAGCCTAGCCTACATAGCAAATTCAAGTTCCATGCCAGTCAGGAATATATAGTGAGACTCTGTCTCAAAAAATACAAAAACAGGCTGGAGAGATGGCTCAGCAGTTAAGGCTGCTCTTGCAGAGGACCTGGGTTCAATTCCCAGCACCCACATGACAGCCAACAACCATATGTAACTCCAATTCCTAGGGATTTGGTGCCCTCTTCTGACCATCCATAGGCATTGCACAACACAGGTGCACTTACATGCAGGTAACACACACACACACACACACACACACACACACAAATCCAAAAACAAAAAGTTGAAAAAAGTCTGAGCTTAGTGGCACATGCCTGCAATCCAGGTACTTGATGGGCAGAGGCAGGAGGATCAGCAGTTCAAGATCGTCCTTGGCTTCATAGCAAGTTCCAGGCCATCATGGGCTTAAAAAGAAAGAAGAAGGAGGAGGAGGAGGAAGGAAAAGAAGACATTGATTATCCAGAATACCTTAAAGGCATCTAATAGTCTTTTTTTTTCCTAATTTTTTCTTTTACTTATTTATTATATTTTGAGACAGCGTCGCACTGTGTATCCTTGGCTGGCCTCACTATGTAGACCAGGATGGCCTCATCTCACACAGATCCACCTATCTCTGCCTCTGAGTGCTGGAATTAAAGGTGTGCACCACCATGCTAGAACTACATAGTGAGACCCTGTCTCCAAAAAAAAAAAATTAATTGAAGGGAACATATGTGCATGTGGAGGTCAGAAGACAATTTGCAAGAGTTAGTTCTCTCCACCATGTGGGTCCCAGGAATCAAACCCAGGTTGTCAGACTTGGCGGCAAGCCCTCTTATAGAGGACCTGAGTTCAGTTCCCAGCACCCACATTGTGCTAGCAACCATCCTTAACTCCGGTTCCAGGGGATCCAATTCTGTTTTCTGGCCTCTGTGGGCACTGCATGCATGGGTGCACTTATATGCATGCAGGCAAAATACTCATAAAAATAAAAAAACAAAATCTATTTACCAAACTATTCCCAGTCTAATTTTGGAATACCTTTATCACCTCAGTAAAACCCTCCACCTCAGGCTTAGTTACAATCACTAGTGCTGCTTACAATTGATCTCCATTCTCATCCCAGCCAGGAAACCAGGAATCGACTCCCTCCCTATGTGTAGATTTGCCTTTCCTGGTTGATTCATGTAAATAGACCCAACAATATGTGGTCCTTTGTGTCTGGCTTCTTTCACCAAGCACACTGGTTTTTTGGAGATTCACCAATGTTGCACTTGCATCTGTATTGCCTTCTTTCCTACTGCTGAATAGCATTCCGTGGTGATCATGATTGACATCTGGATTGTCTCCACTTTGGGGTTGCTCTGAATAGCACTGCTATGAACATTTATGCCCAAGTCTTTGTGTGAATGTATGTCTGCATTTCTCTTGGATAGATAGAGTGGAATAATTGCAGGGTTGTATAGGAAATTTATGTTTATCTTTTTAAGAAACTGCAAGACTGTTTTCAGAAATGTTGATTCCCATTAACAATATATGAGGAGTCCCATTTCTTCATACTCTTGCCAACATTTGGTATTGTCTATCTTTCTGATTACAACCATTCTAGTGGGCGTGAAATAGTATCTTCTTGTGGTCATAATTTGCATTTTCCTAATGACTAATGATGTTGAGCATCTTTTTAATGTGCTTATTCGCCATTCATATATACTTTGGGGTAGGGGGAACTGTCATTCAAATCTTTTGTTTTTGAATTGGGTTGTTTGAATTGCTATTGTTGAATTGCAAAGGTTCTTTGTATATTCTAGATTCAAATCCTTTACCAGATGTAGACTTCATAAATATTTTCTCTGATTCTGTGGCTTGTCTTTTCATTTTCTTCAGTGTGTTTTTAAGAATCTGAGCTTTCAATTTTGATGACATTTCAGTTTATCAATTTATTTTATGAATTGTGCTTTGACATAAACATGGACATGGTTCTGATCTGCCTCCAAAATATGTTCAGAATGGAGCGTTTCCCTCCACCACCACCATCCTGGTCCCAGCCATCTGTAGTTTGAATAAGATAATTCCATAGCCTCCCAACTGTCTGCATTGGCCCTTGCCCTCTGCCGTCTCCCCACCACAGCCCACTGAGTGATTCTTCAATACTAGATGCCAGATCCTGTTCCTCCTCTTCAAACCATCAAAACACTTCCCAGTTCATTTTGGAGAGAAGCCAAGTTCTTTTAAGAAGACTACAGACACCTCTAAGTCTCCTCCCCCAGCTCTCTCCTCCAGTCCTCTATTCTTTCATGTAAATTTGCTCCCCAGCCACCCTTGTAACTTGCTCTGTTGTTCTGCCCTTTAGTCCTGTCCATAGCACATCTGCTTCTCCAGGATGGGTCCTTGTGTTCACCACTATCCTTAACACTTGGGACAATCCTGACTTTTATGTGCTTACTAATAGCCGGATCTGCTAGCACCCTATCTCAAACTTAAAAAGTGAAAGGCCAACCAGATGGCTCTTCAGGGAAAGGTGCTTGCTGCCAAACCTAAAAACCTGCATTCTGTCCCACATGGTAGGAGAGAACTAACTCCTGTTAATCTGCCCTCTCATCTCTACCCCTACACAGTGGCATGCACACACACACTCACAAATAAGTAAATAATAAATAAATTTAATTAAAAAATTTTTTTTGAGATGGCTTCTCATTATATAGCCATGGCTGGCTTGGAACGCACTATGCAGACCAGGCTGGCCTCAAGTTCACAGAGATTTTCCTACTTCTGCCTCCCCAGTGCCAGGATAAAAGACATGTGCCACCATGCCAGGCAATTTAAATATTTTATTATTTTTTAATGTGTCTGTGTATTGTCTGCATGTAGGTAAATGCACCCATGTCATGCAATGCCCACGGAGGAGAGAAGAGGCTGTCGGATCCCCTGGAACTGGAGTTACAGACAGTTGTTAGCGGCCATTGGGTGCTGGGATTTGAATCCCAGTCTTCTGCAAGAACAACCAGTATTCTTAACCGCTAAGCCATCTTTCCAGACCCCATACCAGGCAATTTTTTAAAAGAATTTTTTTTAGGTCAGGGGTGGTGGCGCATGCCTTTAATCCCAGCACTCCAG